ATTTTAAGTGACGTAAAGTGGGATAATTTAGGATAATGAGATAATTTGAAGCTTTGATTTCATAATTCTTGTGGGATAATAGATAATATGTCACCTTATTAAAGTTCAATCAAAAGTCTAAATTAATTTACCTAATTGATTTAGCATATTGTTAGGTATGTTATTATATTATAATACATTATTTTACTTTATATTAAACTATAACATATGATATTAAAATTACTAATTAATTATAACTATATTTAATGTTATTAATTAATTTAATATAATATATTATAATAATATGATATATTATATAAAAATTGATATCTTTCTCGAAACCCAAGTTTAGTATTATGATGGAAAATACCCTCGATCCCTTTCTCTCTCCTTCAGCTTCCTTCAAACCCCAGAATCAATCCCTCTGCTTTCCCAAAAATAATCAGAAACCCTAGAAGCTCAGAGCTTCGATCATCATCATGTCTGTGCTATTGTGCGGCAAAAGATCGCCGGCGAGCTTCTTCGAGGACGAGTACCATACGCCTGTTCCAGCCTCGAAGAGGATCCGGTGCTCCGCCGCCCTCCAGTTCTCTCCGCCTCCGGCCTCGGTCACGTCACCACCTTCGACCGTTGTTTCTCCAGTTGATCGGCTTAGGGCTCTGTTTCCTGATATGGATGAGGAGGTAATATTTCTATGCCCGTCCTTGAATTGTTGTTGTGTTTTTCGTATATTTACTTTTGATTGGATATGAAGTAATTTTGGTGGTGATTATTTTCTTTCACCTTCTTTGAAGATGATGTAAAAGGTTGCAACTTTGGAAATTTACTCGATCATATTCACATCACAGTAAAAAAATATCGTATAGATAATAATACTAGTAATGACTATTGATATTTAAGTATTAACTCGTTAGAGACATTTAATAAAATTACCCTTCCTGTTAAAACGAAGGCCATTTGGTGATGCTACTGCAATTATTGTAAGTTTTGTCACTCTTAAGAGTAAATTTTGGCTAAGTATAGGAATTTCAAATGATCATCCTATGCATTAACAAAGGCCTTTAGCAATGGTCTTTAATATTAAAAAATGTCTTTTTCTTTAGGCCCGATTAGGTTGCTGATGAAGATTTTGGGGGTATGTCTTTGTTCTGCCTTGCATACTTGTCCACTTCATTCAGAAGAAAAGGAAATCTAAATCAAAGTTTGTAAGAACCGAAACGGGGAAATCTTTGAAATGATGGTGTAGTTGGATATGAGAATGCAACCTGGCTCATCCAAGTAACTCTTTAGATGTTATAACTATAAGACCCCATAAGACGGAAGTAATAAATTAAAAAAAAATTTAGAGAATATCTCAGTTTGGATGCTTGCATCTGTAATTGGCGATATTAGTACATAACGACAATGGTGACAACTATAACAACAAAGCCTTTATTCCGATTAATTGGGGATTAGGGGACATTATACAGGCTAAATTTTTCTCTTATTCTATGGACATCTGAACCAATGTGAAGGCGAGCTTATTTCGTAAGATAGTGATGTTAATTTTAGTTCCACTTAAAGATTTAATGTAAAGGCCGAATTGTCAATAAACTTCATGCGCACGGAATTCATGTATGTTGAATATCATACTGATTTTTTCATATATGTCTTCCTACAGTCAGTTCCAAAACTAACCAAATGGTCTATATCAATTAACAACTAGTGTCCATTTTTTTCCCTTTTATATTTAATCATTTTATCTGATTATTATTAGCATTATTTTCTCTTCGAAAATGACAATTGCTATTTGAAACACGCTTGTCAACCTTTATTTATCTTTCTTTATGTTGTAACATAAGCATATTGTTTGATTTCTTACAATTGATAGTTCACTTATATTTTCTGTCAACATTCTTTTAGTTGCTCGCGAAAGCACTTGAAGTATCAGGCAATGACTTGGACATTGCGATAAAGAATTTAAATAATCTCCATTTGGAGTCAGCGAGGGCAGAATTAGACTTTGCTGAGAACAACAAATCTAATGTCAGGACTGAAGCGAATATTTGGTCATCACCTGAAGGTACAAATCATGCCCCCCACACTTATATAGTGTTATACAGCTATAGTATATTTTGTATTTATTTCTTGTTTAGTTTCTTTTCTCTTACTCAGTAAGTTGGTCTCTTCTCCTTATGATAGCGTAGAATTTTGACTAGTTGCTTATACTTTAGCTTGTACTGGTTAGATTCTCTCTCTCTCTTCTTTTTTTTTTTTGGGGGGGTTCTCTTACTCAGTAAGTTGGTCTCTTCTCCTTATGATAGCGTAGAATTTTGACTAGTTGCTTATACTTTAGCTTGTACTGGTTAGATTCTCTCTCTCTCTTCTTTTTTTTTTTTGGGGGGGTTTTTGGATTTTAGTGCTAGGCTTTTTCCATCATAATACTAAACTTTGATTGATCTTATAACAACTTCTCTTGATTCTAACCTTAACCATTAGATTTTATATTTCAACTTGATCTTTGGTTTTAATGTCAACCTGCTTTAATATGACTTATCTTTTAACATTCATGCAAAGCTCTGGACTCCATGGTATTGGACACAGTGGCCAGCCGCCTAGGAAGGTGCCTAAGTGCTGAAAGTGCACTTTGAAGTAAGTTGGGTTGTGTTAAATAAGAGTGGCTTAGAAGTTGCATTTTGTTTGGACACATCCATAGCGAATAGACCAATTCTGCAGTCATTTTAGTTGTATCCTATATAACTTCACTGCAAATGTTTGGAGCAGCAAAATCCTCGAGTATCATGCCCTTTCTTAGCACAGGGCTTGCTGGCATATACTAATTTACATCTTTTTTAATATACTTGTGAGTATGTTGAACATGTAAATCATCTACTTTCTTTTTTATGCTTGCTTTCTGCCAAGAGTATGTCATATTTCGCAGTAGAGAACACAATGTTTCAACTCACAATCCTATACTTACAATTTTAATGACATAACAAAGAAAAAAAATTCAAATGTTTAATTCTATTGTTCCTTATGATTAAGATGGTTGTTCTTAGGATTTTTTTTTTGTTTTCCCTATCCCTGAGGATGTCATCTGTGTAGACAACAACAAAGAGTAAATGCCCAAAAATACTATTCATCCATTTCTGGAACACTTGAGGGGCATTTTTTAGGGCAAATGACATAATGTTCTATTCATAATGTCCACCATTAGGACAACTGAATGCTGTTAGCCTTTTGCTTTCTGCATCCTTTTAATTTACCAGAATCCTGATTTTGCATCGGATTTATTGATCTATTTAGCATCTCGGATTCTGTATAATATTAATTCACTGTTGGGGATGAAGAAAATGTCAAATTTGGTGGCTTCATTTACCTTTTTATAGTTAATGACCATATGAGCATTTACTGTTCATTATTGTCACATAGATGACATCCTAGTGTTCTCAAAAACTAAAGAAGAACACAAAGAACACCTGATAGCAGTAGCACAACTATTGCTCAATCACGTTATTTTATCTCTTAAAAAGATAGCTTTAATGAAAGAAGATATCAAATTTTTAGGGAAAAAAAAATAAATGTGGTCATGTTGAATTACAAGATCGTATCATTACAAAGATCAAAGAGTTCAAAGGTAATTGTAAAACTCTAAAAGATCTGCAAAGCTTTCTAGGCTTACTAAATTATGGAAAAAAGTATATATCTAATCTCTCCGAAAAGATTTCTTCGCTTTAGAATAAACTTATTGAAGAACAGAAGAAAATATAAAGACAAATAATAATGGAGTAACTTGTTGGGATACTGACAAAATTAAAATAGCACTCAATGATGAACAATTACAAGAAATTGGCAACATCAAAAAAGAAATAAAAGAACAAAAAATCTTTATCAACCACAATCTAGAGATACATTAGTTATACAAACTGATGCTTTAGATACACATTGGTAAGGAATTCTATTTGTAATTCCACCAAAACATCTGCGCTTCGAATTAGTATCTGAGCCTGGTTCAAGGACAAAGATCAACCAATTAGACCCTGAAATATGTGCATATTGCTCTGGAAAATTTAAAGGACTGGAAAAAAATTATGCTACATATGATAAAGAATTATTAGCTATCAAAACACTATTAGTTCTTTAAAAATATACTTACTATTGTCTGAGTTCATTATTTAAAGAGATAATCAAGCTGTTGCACAATTTCTTGAAAAGAAAATTAATTCTTTAATTGAGAAAAATGTGCAAATAAGATGATCCATGGAATTAGAGAATTATATTTAATACTATTTGATATATTACTGGATTTACTAATATTGGTGCTGGCTTTCTTTTCTAGCATGACTAGTTTCTTACCAGACAAAAAGCCCAGTAAATGCAAAGTACCTCTTCCTCCTTAATTTGACCTAAAGGAAAAAGGTATGGAAGAAATATCCCCAATACCTCAAATAACTCAAATCATCAACAAACATCTTAATATAGACATTAAGGAAAAGTACATTAAAATTATTGCCTGATTCCTTACCAATCTAGAAAAATGATTACTGATGGATATAATGAAGTACTGAGATGAATGAGCTTTATAATAAGTCTTGATGCACAATTTGCAAAACAAAAGTATACTCATCAGTTAGCGTAATATATTAAAATAATTACCACACCTGACAATACTTATGATTGTCCTTATTGTATCAAGTGCATCAAGCATGAAAGAAAATCTTATCCGCGTCAATTTCAATAACAAAGGCCATATAAATGACCCTTTTGTCATGGCATGCCAAGTTCATCAAGTTTTCTATGTGAAGGATCCTGTTGAAGAGGCAAACAAGAATTGGCATTATGTTTTAAAGAAGCTTCCTAGTCATGTTTATGATATTGGTGCTACACATGGAGGTGATTATTGGGTTGAAAAAGTAGTGACATTGTCAGTGATTTAATCCCAACTAGTAATGATGACATAGATGATGTGGGTTGGTGTAGAGATGATGTGCCGAGGTCCACTGCTGACATTCCTCCAAATATATATATTGATGATGATAATATAATGGAAGGTGATGAAGACAGTGACTTTGATGAAACAGAGTGGGATTGGATGGAGTAAAGATATGGGAATTTCTGTATGTTTTGAAAGAAATGAGTTTTGAAATTTATGTTTTGAGTATATGGGTTGAGTAGACTTTGTCATTTTCTTTTTTGATTTGAGTATGAATTAGTAGTTTAAAGAACACAGAATTTTTGCAAGATTACAGGTTATGATTTTGTAACTAACAATCATATTTGAAGGATTAACCTATTCAAAATCCATGCACCGTCAATGTTTTTTGGATTCATCGTTAATCAGCAATAATGGTATGCTTTGTTTTGTTTGATGCCACTGTTCAGTGCAGAAATCAGTGTTTGGCTTCTGTCACTTTTGACTTGAGTTGGTCAAAAATCACTCGGGTAAATACCTTAAGTACAGGAAAATACTATCTTACATTAAGAAAGTTGCGGATAGTTTCTCTATAATATTTGTCACTGTATCTTACATTAAGAAAGATTAAGGACTAACAGAACATGTTTCTTCAGATTCTGCGTTATACTCAATGCTATGTGATTTGAAAAAACTGAGGAATATATCAACGACCAACAGTAGGAAACATCGGCATCGGGAAATCTGTTTAGTACTTGATCATCCAAAAATGCATTTCAGACAAAGGGAGAACTAACATAAAGACTACTGTACAAACTACATATAATTACAACTGTTATAATGAAAGAAAACATATTTGGGCTACTTTCCTGCTGCTATTATGAATGATTGTCAACGGATAAACTTATTTTTAATATTAAGACAAGTTTCCCGATGTTGTTATTTTCCTGATTCTGTAAGTCACATTTATTTACACGTCTTGGGTGGGATACCCTTAAAGATTTTCATAATCTGGTGTTAGTTGCTTTCTGCTGATTCAATACTCATGACTGTAAATAGAAATATCATTGTCTTTGATTTTCATGGAGAAAAGGAAGTAATGAATATTAGTAATTTAATCGACATGTCTTAGGCATAAAAGAAGAGCCAACTACCGAAAGCTAACTGGTTTTTCATGTTGTTTTAACATTGTACTTAACTGGTAAGATTTCTTTCGTAACAAAGTAGTTAGTTGATCATCCTGTTAAAACGAAGGCCATTTGGTGATGCTACTGCAATTATTGTAAGTTTTGTCACTCTTAAGAGTAAATTTTGGCTAAGTATAGGAATTTCAAATGATCATCCTATGCATTAACAAAGGCCTTTAGCAATGGTCTTTAATATTAAAAAATGTCTTTTTCTTTAGGCCCGATTAGGTTGCTGATGAAGATTTTGGGGGTATGTCTTTGTTCTGCCTTGCATACTTGTCCACTTCATTCAGATGAAAAGGAAATCTAAATCAAAGTTTGTAAGAACCGAAACGGGGAAATCTTTGAAATGATGGTGTAGTTGGATATGAGAATGCAACCTGGCTCATCCAAGTAACTCTTTAGATGTTATAACTATAAGACCCCATAAGACGGAAGTAATAAATTAAAAAAAAATTTAGAGAATATCTCAGTTTGGATGCTTGCATCTGTAATTGGCGATATTAGTACATAACGACAATGGTGACAACTATAACAACAAAGCCTTTATTCCGATTAATTGGGGATTAGGGGACATTATACAGGCTAAATTTTTCTCTTATTCTATGGACATCTGAACCAATGTGAAGGCGAGCTTATTTCGTAAGATAGTGATGTTAATTTTAGTTCCACTTAAAGATTTAATGTAAAGGCCGAATTGTCAATAAACTTCATGCGCACGGAATTCATGTATGTTGAATATCATACTGATTTTTTCATATATGTCTTCCTACAGTCAGTTCCAAAACTAACCAAATGGTCTATATCAATTAACAACTAGGTTCAAACAACAGTTTTCATTACATCCTCAGTAGTTTTTGCAAGTACAGGTACATGACATGAAGTTTGTAATAATTAAAATAACACAAAAAATTGCTAAGAAAATTGCAGAAATTTTCCAAACTAGTAGTTGATTTTCGACAAGTCTCAATTCTTTCTTTAGCTTCTTTGATTGCAAAATATATTTTTCTCCGTTTCTGCAGCAGTTGCTGCTGCTGGTTGCTTTGTGCAGCATTTGTTGCTGCTGCTGGTTGCTTTGTGCAGCATTTGCTGCTGCTGCTGGTTGGTTTGTGCCTGTTTTGAGCTTTCTGCAGCTCATGCTGCTGCTGCTGGTTGGTTTGTTGCTGGTTTGTTGCTTTGTGCAGCATTTGCTGCTGCTGGTGGTGGTTGGTGTGTGCTTGTTTTGAGCTTTCTGCAGCTCATGTTGTTTGCTGTTTCTTGCTGGTTTGTGCCTGTTTTGAGCTTTCTGCAGCTCATGCTGCTGCCTTTGTTTGTGCAGCATTTGCTGCTGCTGCTGGTTGGTTTGCTGCTGTTGCTGGTTTGTTGCTGGTTTGTTGCCGTTGCTACAGTGTTCTGTCTATGATTTTTGTAATCTGAATTTTTGAGTTTGAAAAGAGCCGTTGCTACAGTGATTCCAGCAAAAAAAAGAAAATACGGCCTCTTCTAGCCGTTACTACAGTATTTTTCAAATGGTCAAGAGGCTTGCTGTTGCTACAGTATCTATTCCCAAAAAAGAGACTTTTTGAAGCAAACATGGTATTAGGAATTGGACCAATTCTATAAAAGTGAGATTCCTAATCATTTGGGTGAAACAAACTTAGAATGCCAAAAAAATAGGATTCCATAAAACTATAACATGTCTATAAAAATTTTATGGATTAGGTTGGAATCCATAAATAAAATAGAATTACTAATCATATTCCTACACGTGGGTGAGAGAGAGATTGAGTGAGAGTGAGCTGGAGAGTGAGAATGAGATTTGTAGAGAGAGGAAAAGAGATTGGGTGCGGGACACGAGGGAGGGGGAAACACGAGGTGGGGATTTGTGGGATTTAGGGAGTGAATTGGGGAAATGGGGTAGGGGGAGAGAGAGATATGAAATACCGGTAAGAGGAAAAACATAGGGAAAAATATATTTTTTAAAATTAAAATATCAGAAAATTTATTCAAATAAATATTCAAAATTTATAGTCAAAATAATAATAACAATAACAATAATGAATATTTAACTATTAGTTTAAAAGTTTAACCGAAACAATTAAATTTATAATTAGCAAAACGATTAAAATAAATATAAAATCGTATTTTAAATCAGAAAAAATTCTAGAGAAATTGGGAAAATACAAATACTCTTTTTAGAAAAATAATATTTAATATTTAATTATCAGAAAATTATTTAAACCCGTATTAGAAATTTACGATCATTACATCCTACCCCCCTTAAAACAAATTCCGTCCTCGGAATTCAAAGTACAAGTGATGCACAAAGAACCCAAGGATAAGAATACAGGAATAAGGTCATAACATGCTATGACGAATGTGTGAGCAAGTGTTGAATGAGAAAATAAATATGTATGTGTATGACATAATATATTATAAGTTATACAAGACACAATAGATAATAATTCAAAAGAATTAAAAGTGAATAGTCAATGCAAATATAGGATTAGTAAATTTCTATAACAGTGGCATTTTCGTAATTTTTGTTTCACCCTTTTATAGAATAGGATTAGTAATTGGGCTCTGACAGTGGCATTTTCGTAATTTTTGGATTCTTTGTGAATCCTATTCTGAAGTTTGGCTCAGCAAAAATTTTGGGATTACCATTTCTATAAAGTAGCTACAGTTGTCGTTTTTTATAGAAACCCAAATCCGAGCTTTGGGTGCGGATTTGGGCGAGATTTCTGACAGGGTCGATTCCGATTCCTCATCTTCACGAATTCGATCCCTAGATCTGGAATCGCTGTATCGCTCCCGCCTCATCGCCCTCTTCTTCGCGCCTCAGTTCCCGCGCTTCGTCTTCTTCAACTTGGGTTTGGGCCTCTTTCTCGAAACCCAAGTTTAGTATTATGATGGAAAATACCCTCGATCCCTTTCTCTCTCCTTCAGCTTCCTTCAAACCCCAGAATCAATCCCTCTGCTTTCCCAAAAATAATCAGAAACCCTAGAAGCTCAGAGCTTCGATCATCATCATGTCTGTGCTATTGTGCGGCAAAAGATCGCCGGCGAGCTTCTTCGAGGACGAGTACCATACGCCTGTTCCAGCCTCGAAGAGGATCCGGTGCTCCGCCGCCCTCCAGTTCTCTCCGCCTCCGGCCTCGGTCACGTCACCACCTTCGACCGTTGTTTCTCCAGTTGATCGGCTTAGGGCTCTGTTTCCTGATATGGATGAGGAGGTAATATTTCTATGCCCGTCCTTGAATTGTTGTTGTGTTTTTCGTATATTTACTTTTGATTGGATATGAAGTAATTTTGGTGGTGATTATTTTCTTTCACCTTCTTTGAAGATGATGTAAAAGGTTGCAACAGTGGAAATTTACTCGATCATATTCACATCACAGTAAAAAAATGTCGTATAGATAATAATACTAGTAATGACTATTGATATTTAAGTATTAACTCGTTAGAGACATTTAATAAAATTACCCTTCCTGTTAAAACGAAGGCCATTTGGTGATGCTACTGCAATTATTGTAAGTTTTGTCACTCTTAAGAGTAAATTTTGGCTAAGTATAGGAATTTCAAATGATCATCCTATGCATTAACAAAGGCCTTTAGCAATAATCTTTAATATTAAAAAATGTCTTTTTCTTTAGGCCCGATTAGGTTGCTGATGAAGATTTTAGGGGTATGTCTTTGTTCTGCCTTGCATACTTGTCCACTTCATTCAGAAGAAAAGGAAATCTAAATCAAAGTTTGTAAGAACCGAAACGGGGAAATCTTTGACATGATGGTGTAGTTGGATATGAGAATGCAACCTGGCTCACCCAAGTAACTCTTTAGATGTTATAACTATAAGACCCCATAAGACGGAAGTAATAAATTAAAAAAAATTTAGAGAATATCTCAGTTTGGATGCTTGCATCTGTAATTGGCGATATTAGTACATAACGACAATGGTGACAACTATAACAACAAAGCCTTTATTCCGATTAATTGGGGATTAGGGGACATTATACAGGCTAAATTTTTCTCTTATTCTATGGACATCTGAACCAATGTGAAGGCGAGCTTATTTCGTAAGATAGTGATGTTAATTTTAGTTCCACTTAAAGATTTAATGTAAAGGCCGAATTGTCAATAAACTTCATGCGCACGGAATTCATGTATGTTGAATATCATACTGATTTTTTCATATATGTCTTCCTACAGTCAGTTCCAAAACTAACCAAATGGTCTATATCAATTAACAACTAGTGTCCATTTTTTTCCCTTTTATATTTAATCATTTTATCTGATTATTATTAGCATTATTTTCTCTTCGAAAATGACAATTGCTATTTGAAACACGCTTGTCAACCTTTATTTATCTTTCTTTATGTTGTAACATAAGCATATTGTTTGATTTCTTACAATTGATAGTTCACTTATATTTTCTGTCAACATTCTTTTAGTTGCTCGCGAAAGCACTTGAAGTATCAGGCAATGACTTGGACATTGCGATAAAGAATTTAAATAATCTCCATTTGGAGTCAGCGAGGGCAGAATTAGACTTTGCTGAGAACAACAAATCTAATGTCAGGACTGAAGCGAATATTTGGTCATCACCTGAAGGTACAAATCATGCCCCCCACACTTATATAGTGTTATACAGCTATAGTATATTTTGTATTTATTTCTTGTTTAGTTTCTTTTCTCTTAGTAAGTTGGTCTCTTCTCCTTATGATAGCGTAGGATTTTGACTAGTTGCTTGTTTTGAGCTTTCTGCAGCTCATGCTGCTGCTGGGTGGTTTGTTGCTGGTTTGTTGCTTTGTGCAGCATTTGCTGCTGCTGGTGGTGGTTGGTGTGTGCTTGTTTTGAGCTTTCTGCAGCTCATGCTGCTGCTGTTTCTTGCTGGTTTGTGCCTGTTTTGAGTTTTCTGCAGCAGTTGCTGTTGTTTCTTGCTTTGTGCAGCATTTGCTGCTGCTGCTGGTTGGTTTGTGCCTGTTTTGAGCTTTCTGCAGCTCATACTGCTGCTGGTTGCTGGTTTGTGCCTGTTTTGAGCTTTCTGCAGCTCATACTGCTGCTGGTTGCTGGTTTGTGCCTGTTTTGAGCTTTCTGCAGCTCATACTGCTGCTGGTTGCTGGTTTGTGCCTGTTTTGAGCTTTCTGCAGCTCATGCTGCTGCCTTTGTTTGTGCAGCATTTGCTGCTGCTGCTGGTTGGTTTGCTGCTGTTGCTGGTTTGTTGCTGGTTTGTTGCCGTTGCTACAGTGTTCTGTCTATGATTTTTGTAATCTGAATTTTTGAGTTTGAAAAGAGCCGTTGCTACAGTGATTCCAGCAAAAAAAAAAGAAAATACGGCCTCTTCTAGCCGTTACTACAGTATTTTTCAAATGGTCAAGAGGCTTGCTGTTGCTACAGTATCTATTCCCAAAAAAGAGACTTTTTGAAGCAAACATGGTATTAGGAATTGGACCAATTCTATAAAAGTGAGATTCCTAATCCTTTGGGTGAAACAAACTTAGAATGCCAAAAAAATAGGATTCCATAAAACTATAACATGTCTATAAAAATTTTATGGATTAGGTTGGAATCCATAAATAAAATAGAATTCCTAATCCTATTCCTACCCTCTATTGAACCAAACAGCCCCTTAGGGCATGTTTGGATTTGTAGGGGGTGAAGGGAAGTTAAGGGAAACTGAGTGAAGGGAAGGGAAGGGAGTTCCCTTCTCCTTGGTTACACCCCAATTTGGGGGTAACAATTTTTATACTATTAGAGGGTGAACCAAGGGGAACTAGGGTGAATTAACTTAACCTCCTAAGTGTTCCCAAACAAGGTGAATGGAGGTGAATGGTTCCCCTCCCTTCCCCTCACTCCCATTACCCTCAATCCAAACAAGCCCTTAGGGAAGGGAAGGAAGGGGAAGGAAGGGGAATTTTTCCCCTTCCTTCCCTTCCCCTCCATTACACCCCAATTTGGGGTGTAAGAATTTGGGCCAAATTTCCCCTCCATTCCCCTCCTCTACCCTCCAAAATGAAACTCCCAAACAAGGTTAAAATAAAATTTCTCTTCCCTTCCCTTCCCTTCCCCCTCTCTACCCTCCATCCAAACAGGCCATATGAGTTTTATTAAGACCTAGTTTGGGAGGGTGATAAACCCCAATTAGAACTCTTAAACCTGAAATTTTCATGTCCTAAATAGTCGGGGTTGACAACCCAGACTGTTTAGGAACTTCATTACGCCCACGTGGCAAAAAATGAATCGATTTTGATAAATAAAAAAATGGGTCGATTTTGAAAAAAAAAAACTTTTTGGGGTTGTTTTGAAAATTTTCTCCAAGGAAAGGATGAGGGATGAGCGGTTATATCATCATCATGTCATTGAGATCAAAATGGGGGCAAAAATGTCCGACGAATGAAGGGTGGGTTTTTCTTAAGGGTTAATTGCGACCAGACCCCTTTAGTATCACCCGATTGCAAAGGGAGTCCCTTAGTTCCATTTGTTGCTATTTGTTGCGAATAGACTCTCTCTGAGCGAAATTTTTTTTTTACTCTTAAAATCGTTTAAAAGCATTTTAGGAGGTGGATAGATCCATTATAGTTCTGTTGGTGATGATAGGCGCTAAATTACTAAATCTTTTTGCCTTGTAGAAGGGTTAGAGAAAGTTCAATAAGGATGTACACACACTTGGGCCGATACTACAGGAGTCTTTTCACAATAAGTAGAACTTTAAGAGTTCTATTCGCATCATATAGAACAATGTAAGTCTCTTTGCAATTGTGTGATACTAAGGGGTACTCTTGGCAATTTACTTTTTCTTAATATTGCCCCCCCCCACCTAACTAATCTACTTTTAAAGCCTCGCCCGACAACAAAGCCAATATTTTTTTTTTCATGAGGGATCAAAAATGCAAGTATGATGCTATGCATCAATCGAAAAGCAACTTAAAATTAGTCCATCTACTTAGAGGTTGGTTGGATTTGAGACATTCTATGATTTTTCATAGTTTTGGGTGTAATAGCAGTTATATACATATCCATTCAAACCCATACACTGGAAAAACTTCGCTGGAGTAAAAATTGAGAAAAGATTATGCAAGATTTTGAGCCTCATTTTGGCAGATTTTGTTATTTATTTTGGTTTATTTGGTAATTAACCGTCTCTGATTAACGACTACCTAATTGTGGTTAACAGTGTAGATGATAAATATAACATAATTTCAAACACTTCAAAGACTCGAGGGACTAATTTCAAAATAAAATGATTCAAAAGACTATTTTCAAATATGAAAGATTCGAGACATTAATTTCAAATATATATGAAAGCTTTGGGGACTATTTTCAACTATGAAAGTTTTTTTTTTTTTTTTTTTTTTTTTTTCCCCCCCAGTTGTTATCAATGAAAATTTGTATTTTCAAATACATACCCTCCAAAATTTACGTACTTTTAAATTTATCCTCAAATTGTTATAAAAGTTCAATGTGGAGGGTAAATCTGCTGAGGGTTAACTGTAGATATGCCCTCCATACTATCGACCAATTTTAGATAGACCCTCTATAGTTTTATTGTGCAGCCCTCTGAGTGAATTCTTTTTTTTTAACGTTTGAAAGAGTAAAAAAAATTACTAAAGCCAGATAAATTCAATGCAGCTCTATTGGGGAGAATAGCCCCCTAATGGCGAACTATTTTGAATTTTCAAAGAATCTAAAAAGTTCACTCAGCGGGGTTTATCCACACAAAATAGAACTATAAGGGACCTATCCGCAATTGAGTGATAGTACAGCAGGACCCTCCGCAATTAACCCACCTTCAAATATTGATGTTATGAAGGGCTTACGTGAAAAGTTGCTTTCGTTGCGGCTCCCTCTCTCGGGTCGACTGGAGATTTCTCTCGTCTAAAACCCTAAACCGCTACGCGCTACACAATGCCCTGGTGTCCATCACTGCTCGACGAATGGCCGACAGCGGACGCGGCCGCTAAGTTGAAAAGATCGCCGGCCGGGCAATTGACGAAGAGAAGGATTCACCTACTTGCTCCGCCTCGCGGCGCATCCTCAAGATCGCCCCTTTACCGTCCCTCCGCGACAAACCTCGTTCCTTTATTCGCGGACAATCGCCAGCGACGTGGCCTGGCCAGGAACGAGTCGTTCGTCATCATCGGCGACAGCCCCAATATCTCCCTCCGCAAGGGACGGTGGATTCAGATTTCCGAGTTCTTCGCCGGAGGTGGCCGCCGCCGCGCCGCAACGTGGCCGCCGCCTGCGTTAACGTCCGCTCTCCGCCGCCATCGCAAACCCTACATGCTTGTTGATCTATTGAACTCTTCGAAAGTTGACAACTTTTACGCTTTGGGCGCGGTTTTTGTAGCCCTCTCCAAAATTATCTTGAGAGACAGTGAACCTTGTTGTCCTTCTATTGACCCCAGTTTGTTTATGCATCGGATGTCAACTCGCCTGTTGGGCGAGAAGGATGCTGAGGCCGCGGCGTTGAGGATCTTGTCGGGCACCCGAGGAGCCGGAGAGACTGATGCTGACGCAGTGACAATGAGGTTGCCTATCGAAAGTTCTGGCAGCGCTGGCATTGTGCATTGCTGCAGCTGCGCGGGGACAGGGGCGAGGGTTCTCACAATGGGAGAAGTTGACAATGGAGGAGTTTATATCGCGGGCTGCTGAGATGAGTAATTGCAATTATTTTGGTTCGGATGAATTGGTCTGCGAGCACAAGGGGAGCTATGATCGCGCACATTGCTGTTACGGGCTGTGCAGAGAATGCCTCGATGTTTTGCAGCAGAATACGGAGAGGGATAAAACCGAGGAGGAAGAGGAGGACGGCGACGATATTAATGTGTATCTTAATACTGAGAGAGAAAAGAATTACAAGACAATAGTTTGGGAATTGATGAACAAGAATTATATCGAGGAGCAGGCATCCGAGATCTCTGCTGATGATACGAAGATCAGGAAAGAGAGGAAACGGAGAAGAGAAGGAGACATTGATAGGGGGGCTAAGCCTACAAAAGAGAAGCAGAAGGAACAGAGATTGAGTTCCAGAATTAATTATGATGCTTTTTCGCAGTTTTATGAAACAGATAACAATGGTATAACCAGTGAACATGGCAATGAGGAGGAAAGCAAAGAAGAATTCAATAGGGAAGCTACAGAGGATTATAATGAAGAAGAAGAGGAGGCCTGCGGAGACGATAAATCCGCTGAGGATCAAGGTTATGACGATTTTCGTGATCTGGGAGAAGATCGCGGTGAAGGGAATTACAACGAATTTGATGAGTTTTAGTTTTGAGATGTCGCTACATTTCTAAGACTATCATGAAAAAACAAGTGAGGAGACTCGAAATTAAAGACAATCAACTTGTTGTAGCCATCGGTATTGTGTAATACACTTTTAAAGTATAGATAAAAAGTTCAACTTGAACAAGTTTCGTTCTTCTGGTGTAGATTTGCTGAAATATTAAACAAGGACGTACTGAACTGGGCTTTCCATCGTCACAACTGAGCCTCCATAAGCAAAAATGTAGAAGACATGCAAGGAACAAAGATGATATCAACAGAGTTTTAGTACTATGTTTACTTTAGAGAGCATACATGTTGAAAACAATGAAAGTTGTTAGGCATTGTCATTGTCCGCTATATTCATGAAGAATAAGTATATAAAGTATTTGATCACTGCAGCTTTTCAATTTTCCTCCTCTCCTTATCTACTTATTATCTGGGTCGATTCGCATTTACTTTAACCCTATAAAATTAATCATAATTTGTGTTCTATGTTCTACTTACCGCTTTCTCTGCCTTGATCGCAACTCAAATGCACGTTATAATTGTTCTTTACAAATGCATATTTGTTTCAGGTCTTCCAATAGGTGCTCGTTACGGTTAAATTTCATTGCTATTCTCACAGCTAAGTGTACTTTGCTATTTTATTCCTCCCTCTGCTGAGGATTTTTGAATCAAAATCTACTTGGGCAGTTTTCTCCGATCATCATGAACTCATAAATTAACAATAAGCCCATCAATTACAGATCAACCAGAGATGATTCCTCAAATTCTAACAAATAGTACTGTTAATCACTTTAGCCTCGAATAAGTCACATAATTTCCTTGATTACAAGGACATCTAAATGCACAACCTGGATATCAGATGTCATCTTTTCACAGACAATCATCACTCTGGAAAAATTTTACATTGTACATTTGACACGTGTGCACTCACGCACGAGCACGCAAACAGCATAGTGTTCCACTCCAAAAATATGATTTGCAAGGAAAACTCATGTTATATCACTGAATGCTCCAACTGAATCATATAAATTGAAATCGTTGAAGATGTCGCCCTTGCTGATGACTTCAAAACATTTGGACACGCTAACTGCTTTGATTCCCATTCTCTCAGTTTTCAGCAATGCAGATTGTAAATCCTTCTTTATCGAACCTGCTAATCTGTTATCTTCCAATCTCTTCTTTATCGAACCTGCTAATCTGTCATCTTCCACCTCTTCATAGGTGGTCTTGCTATCTCCTGTGTCAACGAATAGACAAATATTCTCAGCCATTCTTTTCCCTAAGAAAAGATATGAAAATGAAGGAGTTATTTTGTGCAATGGAGTACTCATGAGTCTGCTTTACCTTGATGGATATGTATTTCTTCCTACTACACACCGTATCTTCTTAAGACCTTGCTCAGAGATGGCATCACATTATATGCCTGGTATGACCTTCTCAGCTCAATAATGGAACCAACCTGGAACAAGATACAGGACAACACAAAGAGGTCATTAGCTACCAGAGGGAATTGGGATACGTGAGCTAACAAGTTCAGGGCAGTTCCTTTGAACAACATGGTCAGATAAAGTAGGTACAAGATATCCGCCTTCTTCAATGGAGAAGAAAATGGCTTATTATATGACTACTACAAATTGTGAAGTCAAAAAGGGAACTTTTTAAACCCTCCCAAAAACAAAAATATCATATAGATACAGTTTCCTTAGAAGGATCAATGTGCCCATGGTTATTATCATATGCCTCGTCAAAATGGAAATTTTTCTCAAATTGAACTTACAATGATAAGGACTGATGTGAATCCAAGTGCAAATCCCTCATTGATACGCCTTAAATAGTGATCAAGCAAGGTTGAAGAGGTAGCCAATATACTTAACAGTAGTCCTCCTGTAATATTATAGGTCATACAGAATATTGTCACTAAAAGGTGCATAAAAATATTGGAAGAAGAAATTACAAGAATAAATAAGATGCATTATGAGTTGGAAATAAATTTATATGAGAGAAATACCCCAGAAACGTGTTGAGGCTTGAATCTTTGTCAAATACTCTATAGTTAGTTTCCCCGGCTTTATATTTGGTATTCTAGCACCCATTTTTGTCATGTAATCAGCAATCTCTTTTGGTAAGTTGGCCTGCAATATCAAACAGTTTAGAAAGTGCCAATAAATGAAAGATAAGAGCATGCGAAAAAGAGGGAAAGAAAAGCGCTAAGGATGAAAATTAGTGAAAGGAGATAATTAGTAGTATTGAGAAACTGCAACAATCTGAAAGATAAAGAGCATGCGAAAAAAGAAAAAGGTTAACACTAACAATGAGAACCAGTGCAGGAAATAATTAATAATATAACTACTACAAGTCCATGCATTGCATATCTTTCGCCTTGAGGTATCTAGAAGTACAAAAAGAAACTTTTTTATGGGGTGTTGGGACTATATCAGATTTGATTGTATATAATAACTGAAATAGGCCAGAAGCATAAAGAACTTCCAGGGCTTAAAAATGAGAATAATAACATCAAAAGGGAAAGAATTTTTGAGAGAAACTTGAACATGACAAAACAAATTCAGGAAAATAATAAAACCTAAAGATACTTGAAACAATTTTCCTGCTTACAGAAATTTTTTGATTTTAAATATATTATAACAAACTGACAAATAAATAGCGTGGCTAGGCCAAATTGATAATAATGAAAAGGAAAAAAACTGAAAGAGGCTTAGTATGACTTAGTTACTATTATGAATTTAATGACAAGCTAAAAGAGATCATAATTCTCTGAACATTTCTTTCAATATAACAGTCTCAGAACAATATACATGAAAACACAAACCATTGAACTGACAATAAACAAGCAGGTAAGACAAACACAGTGGTAATCCAAGAAAATAGTCAATAATATAAATATTTGTGATTGGCGTACGGCAATAATAAGACAAACCACTTACAATGTCAAAGATATTGAATAGGAAGACAAAGAAAGCATAAATCCCATAGTAAACCCATGGTTTTGCGCCAACAGAAGTCCCAGGGTTCAATATCTCCTTAACATTTTCCCAAAATGGAGAAGCAAAAATACTGCAAACAAGCAATACATATTAGAATGTGGTGATAGATTAGAAGGTGGTGATAGATGAACAAACTCAAGGTAATCAAACTAGAATAAAAGTTGCTCCTTTCCCTGGCATGCATATGTCAAAATGAGAACAGCAAAGGTTGCTTACAACCTTGCCATGATGCTAGGAAAAGCCAATAGGTAGGTGGTCGTAAGAACAGGCTGCATTCCTGTGGGATTTATGTTGAATGGAATATAAGGCTCCACCTCAGTAACTGGCGATCCCCCATTTCTGTTCAGAAAAAATTTAAGAACAT